ATTAGCTAATACAGGAAGTGTATCACGAAAATAAATAAGCCTTTCTAACAAGAAGAAAGTACTATTCCATCTTGTTTTTGTATCAGATGCAATAGGATCTAGAATATTTATTTCTCGAGTATTAGATTTTATTATAAAAAATATATATGGTAATAATTAATATATACGTAGTTATTGCTATTTTGCTTAAATTAAGTAATAATAAATGTAAATCACTTGCCTTGATCATTTATTTCACAAAAAATTGCTTTTATTAGTGGGCGATATTTATCATGATTAACAATAAAATTATTTAATTTCTTTGCAGCATCAATTAAACTTTTTATATGCTTTAATCCATCTCTAATTGCAAGTTGCATACTGTATGCGACACAATGGATATGATTAGTTTCCAACTAACGTATTGCTTTAACCATAGCTGCATTATTATCAGTTGCATCACCAAAAAGTTTTTCAGTAATATTCCATTTTTGGAATTCTTTGTGCAAACAATCTTCAATGTTATTGCCTGTATAAGGATACTTAAAATTTTTAATTGTAAGTAAAGCTTGTTTAATGTTAAAATCAGGTGTTATTCAATGAATTGTAATCCCGATATAAGGTTTATGGTCTTGAGTCCACAAATCGGTTGTAAAGAAAAAAGATTCTATAGAATTATTCATTAATTTATTTAAATCTTGCTCAACTATACTAACAGCTTCGCTCATTTTTTTATATAAAAAATTTCTATAGAATAGAATAAAATGTTTCAAGTTTATGAATAAAATTTTGAAATTTACGATTTTCTACTATGTAAAAAGCCTGTATATCATCTATTAACCAGTCTATCAAACAATATATAATTCTTTCAATCTTATTTTAATCAAGTGAATAATTCTTATGTGTCTTATATGTTGTTGAGCTTATTTCAACTTCTTTTTTTTCTTCAATAATTTGATGTTTGGCTCTTAAATGGCTAGCAATATTTGTTGTACTAGTTTTTTCTCGACAAGACCATGGGCATTGAATTTTAATACCATTATCTTCAATTTGAACTTGACACCTTCGAGATTTTTTATTAACGAATAACCAAACCCAGCTTTCTACATTTTGATTAGCTGGGATAACATTCATATAGGGCATAGTAGGTGTCGATGATTGTTCATTTTCATTATCATTTAAAGAATTATTCATATTTAACTTTAAAATTTTGATAATTTTTATTACAAGATTTTAATTACAGTACAAGATTTTTATTACAAGACTTTATTACAAGATGTTAATAATAATTCAAGACACTATTTCTACAACAATAAGCAAATTAGCCAATAAAAAACTATAAAAAAAACAATAGCTAAATTTGGCCAATAATATTATAACCAAGTCAGATAGCCGACTTAGTCGATCAGAGGTCAGCTAGGCTGACTTAGTTGACTAGCTACTTATCTACTTACAACACTAAGAAGATGGTAACTATAGATGATTATGGAGTATGCAAAACAGGAAAGTCTTAGAAAATTATTAGATAGTAAATATAGTAAATTAGATTAGACTTCTATAATTAATCAAAATATGTGTTTTTATATTACTGATTTTGGTTTATAGACCAGTATTACAAGGTTCAAATTCTAAAGAACTTTTTGGTATACTTCCATATATTGCCCAGAAGTACTGTACACAAACAGAAAGGAATACACCCAAAAATCAGATATTACTTATTCGAAACAATTATGTCAGAAGTTTTTACTGGATATTTTTCATATCATGATGAAGATCTAGCAACACGTATTTGTCTAAATTATAGGCCTACAATTAAATGCGAAGTAATTTAAAACTGATAAATAAATACTTAGATGCAAAATCTCAAAATAGACCAACTGCTAAGGAACTAGCTAATAGTGATTGTAGTTAATCCTTATTTAGTAACTCAACTAAGTTGATATTTAAAATTTAGCTTAGCCAACTAAGTCAAAGTCGATCAATATTTTTATCTTTGAAATATATTGAAAATTTCATCAAATTTTTGTTGTAATCTTGCTCATATTTTATATTTATTGTTTTTTTTTAGAACTATTCAGCTTCTACTTTTATTATTATGTATTAATAGAGATAATTATTGAATCTGATTGGTTTGATTGGTTGCTTTAATATAATCCAATATAAATAGACTAAGCCAATTTTTTTGAAAATCAGCTGACTAAACTGGCTAAGTTGATAAAAATCAACTAATACAAATCGACTACAAACACTACTAGCTAATATGTTAGGTCAATTTTTAAACCTAGAAGATAGTAACTACAAAATGTTTATGGAGTATACAAAACATGTGTTGATCTTGTTATTACAAATCTCTCGTATTATTGTCTATTGAGTTTTTTTGTTAATTTTTTTGTCTGCTAGTGGTAAATAAGCTACTTATATTTGTATAACTACTTTCTTAAAAAAAAATTCTATTTTAATTAAATATAGGCTATACTTAACTACTCTACCTATACGTTTTGCCCAATGATTGCTTACAAGTAGACTTATTTCTAAATCTTTAATTTTGTCTGCTTCTTTGGATAACCAGAAGCTGACATAGCCATGTTGACTTGTTTTTATCCATTTTTCTTTTTTCTTATTTATATTTGTTTCTGCTATTCCTATTATATCTAAACTTTTTTCTCTATCTAACTTTGCAAGTACAACTAATTTCTGCCCATCTAATTTAAGTCCATTAATATTATGAAAGCCTATTTTTATCAAATTGAAGTTGTTTTTTTTCGAAAAGTTCTCACTTTGTTCTAATTTATTATTATCGTGTAAGGCATCAGTAAGGCTATTTGCTTTACTCTTGTTCTTTAATTTAGCTAGAGCAAATTTTAGAAGCGCTGAGCCAACAACAGCTCGATTGTTCTAAATTTTTCTTGCATATTAGCAAACAATTGTTCAAAGTTAGTTTCTGTAGTGGACTCCTTTTGTTTTCTTTTTCTTGTACCAAGCTTCTCTTTATTAGACCCTGTTGTATATATGTTTTTCAAAGCCTGAATAGACCTTTGATTATCAACTTCATTATTTTCTAGAACTCTTAGAGATTTTCTTGTAGTGCTGCATGATCTGAAGCTAACATGTTCTTGAGTGAGGTTACTACGGTTTTTTTTGTTACTATCAAAAGTAGACCTATTTGATTTGCTAAAACTCTTGTAAACTTGTCTTTGTTAATTAAATTCTGTTTTTTCTAAGGCTCCGTCTTATTTACTATTACTTTTTTTTTGCTAGAATATACTGTTTTTTTATTACTATGGTGGTATGCATAAGTAAAGCTTCTATTTACAGAGTCCTCAAAGTAGGAATACTATTCTAACTTTGTGTTGAAGTAATATATATTTGTCTTTTGAGCTTCTAATTTGTCCTGCTCTGACTTGAAATATATATATGCTTTTTTAGCCTGATTGCTATTACTATTCTTAAAAATATAAACAGCTTGTACTTTATATTTCTTTAATTGACAGAGAAGAAAACTGTCTACTGCTCTTGTAAAGATATTACATAATGTGGATCTAAAAGTATTTCTACTTTCTAACTCTTTAATATCAAATTCACCTGAGGTTATTCTATATGTTTTTTCATGATCTAAGATAATTGACTAATATCAGGAAATTTTAAATATAGATAAGTAGCAATTACTATCAAATATTTAATAACTATCAATAATTCTTATCGATAGTTACTGGTATGAGTGATTATTAACGATAATTACCATTATCGATTTAAATCATTAATTGTTAAATTTTGATAGTTAGCTCTTATCGATTGTTCTTGATAAATTTTCTATTGATATTAATCGATTAGATAATACCTAATCAATTACTGTCAATAGAAAAATTTATCAAAAACAATTTTTAAAGTTGGCTATTGAAATCCAATAGTCATTGATTTAAATCGATTACCTAATCGATTACTATCAATAAATGATTTATCAAGAATATATATGCTGACAAAATTATTTCGAGTTCAAAAACTCGAAATTAAAATTTGAAGATGAAATTGTTTTTGATCTATTTTACTTAAAAGACAAAATTTTTTGACACTTTTTTTAAATAGACAAATTATAAAGAGTATAAATATATAAATTTTATTTGCTCTTTCTTATAAAAAATTTCAATTTACTCTAATGGAGACGAAATAGGCTTTTTTTGAAAATCAATTTCAGTGGCATTACTAATCAAGAACAATCAATAAGAGTTGACTATCGAAATTTAACAATTAATGATTTAAATTGATAATGATAATTATCGTTAATAATCACCCATACTGGTAACTATCGATAAGAATTATAAATAGTTATCAAATATTTGATAGTAATTGCTACTTATTTATATTCAAAATTTTCTGATAATATAATTCCAATTGGCTAAGAGTAGCAATCAAAAAATTGGGCCAGAATTACCTATAATTTTACTAATAAATATTAAATTTCTAGGTCAATTTTACCATAATACAGGCTTATTTTTAAAAAATTTATATTTTTGTAATGAAAAAATTAAAAAGCTAATTTCAGTCAAAAATTATGTAATAAAAGCCAAAATTTTGAAGATCCTCGGCCATTGGCCAATCAAAATTAAGAGATTTGTTGCGCATTTTTTGTGTGGCCAATATGCTGATACATTAACTATAGCTGACTAGTAGATTCACGATTTTGATTAGCTAATAGCCAAGGATCTTCCAAAATTTGGCCCATATTACATAATTGTTTACTAATTTCTGCCTGGAATTAACTTTTTAATTTTTTCATTATAAAAATAGAAATTTTTAAAAAATAAACTCACAATATGTTAAAATTAGCTCAGGAACAATTTTCATTTAGTAAGTAGCTATAATTTCATTAGTAAAATTCAGAGTAATTCCTCTAATTTTTTGATCATTACTTTTAGCTAATCAAAATAGAGAATCAACTGGTTCAATTTTGTTGTAGCAGCTATAGTTAATTGCTGATGCAGTACTGTGGTAGCATTGCATTTAATATTATTACATAGCTATAGTAATAATATAATTTAGTCTTTAAAGAAGTGTTAATGGCTCTAAAAATCTTTAATAGGCTGGAATTGGTCTACAAAATTCTTTGCCATATACTGTAAAAGTTTATATACAAGATCCCCAAAATAGTAGACTCACAATGAATTAGGCCCAGGTGCGAGCTACAAAACCTTTATTAATTAAATATGGTTTTTTCAAATAGTTAGAATATCTGTTATAAATATAAAGTGTGTATGCACTTTGAATTTTTTCTTTAAATGATATATATAGGTTGTTTAAAAAGTTTTGATACAAGATGTCTAAATTTTTTTTTTTATTAATAACTTGCAAACTAACTATTTCATATTTTTGAAATAGTTTCCATCAAATTCTATACAATGCTTTAGCCTTGTACACCAATTTTGAAAACAGTTATAATATTCTTCTTTTGATATATTGCTAGTTATTGATTTTACAGTACGTGCAAGATCTTGAACTCTTTCAAACCTCTTTCCGCCAAGTTCTTTTTTGATTTTTAGAAATAAAAAAATCACATAGAGCTAGGTCAGAACTATAAGGGGGATGAGAAAGCAAAAAAACTTGTTCTTTTCGAAGATACTCTGTAACAACATCTGATTTGTGTAGCGCAGCATTATCATGGTGTAGCTTGACATTATGAACTGTGCTTCTATCGTTAATATCCTTAAAATTTTTAAAAACTTTAGATAATATTTTATTATGATAGTAACCTCTATTAACTGTTTGTCCTTTTTTTACTGCAATTCTTGCTACAATTCTATTTGCAGAAAAAAAAATATAAAACATTTGTTTTTTGCTATTTTGGGCTGTTTTTACAATTTGTGGTCTGTTTTGATTCTGACTTGCTCAAATTTTGTTACTTTTTTTAGATGATACTGTAAACCAATATAACCATATTTCATTTTCTATAATAATATTTTGATAACTATTATAAAGATACCTTAATAATTGTCTTGAAAGTTTAATACATTTTTGTTTGTTTTTATCAGAAAGGGTATAAGATACCCATTTTGCACATATTTTTCTAGCACCAAATTCTTTATGCAAAATGGTTTCAATACTTTCTAATAAATAAAAACCACTTGCTGAATTTCTCTAATTGTAATATGAGGTTATCACTTATAAGTTTTTTTAATGATATCAATATTAGAAGTTGCAAC